CTTTGCTGCACAGTGGACACTGTACAAAATGTGAAAGGGAATGTGGTTAGGCAATGGCTGCATGAATATTCCAATGCCATTTATTTGTTTGACTTGAGTTTCACTGTAAATGCAGCTGCTTCCTCAAATTAAAACTCCACAAACAAATTGCATCATTGTGAACTGATCTTTATTAGACCAGCTGTTAGTCTTAATCTGATATCTCTCATAGGACATATATAGTGGACACAATCCATCCTCCAAATATTTAAGGCACCCCCTTTCCTACTGTTGGCAAAGGATATGATTAGTGTATTGGGTACTTGCACTACAGGCAGCTGCAATAAAGACACCTGCACTGCTTTTTCTATACAAGGTCCCAATGGCTTTAGGATAGACTCTGCTGGTGTGGTTACAGCATGGTGATGTGTTTGTTCAATAATGCTTGGGAGCACAAGTGAGCTCTGTATTAGGAAGAAGGAGGGGAGCCCTGCACAGGCTGAAGACTCCTAGCCTAGTAAAAAGAGAACCACAGAACAGTGTAGAACCTTTGATTTCATGGAGATGATTATATTTATTCTTGCCTACTCAAGGGTGAAGCCCAAGAAACAAGGGATTGTCCCATTCAAGGCTATTTCAACGAATTAGCTCCAGAAAAAAACACTGCCAGTTTTTTCTTTTCTTCCTTTTTTCAGTTTGGGGATTTGATTGGAAGTCAGCCATACACAACTTATTTTAAGAAAAGAAGCAACAAAAAAAAAGAATACAGATAAACCTATTCATGTATTATGGGAGAAGGGAAAACACGTTTAATCACAATCTGGTTTGAATCAGCTTTCCTCTGATAAGCTGATATAACATTTTAAGTCTTTTTTTGGAAAGCCTAAAGTGTTAGGTTTGACTTTTGCCCAAAGACAGAGGAGCATAGGCTGCAAGGATTGTTTAGAGATTCCAAATAATGACAGTATCACAGTACAGGAGTACAACACCCAAAAGTTTATTTCTGCATGCAAGATATTTAGAACTAGAAAGGCTTCTCCTATGGAGGTGTTGCCTGTAGCAGCCAATCAGGTTGACAGGTTGCTATGGGAAATTTGGCAAGAAATCATCCAGTTTTTTTAAAGCCATATGTCTGTGCCATTGGCACAGACATTATTAATGCTAGAGAAAGCAAAGTTCCAGGCATTGTCAGGAGGAGGTCAGCATGGGCGCCCATGTATTTTTGCAATTTCAGGTTTCGCTTATAGTGTCCATTTCCTAACCTATCCAACCTGTATTGTCTACATGGGGGTATTTATTATACACATACTGACCTTGGCACATATAAATAATGTGCCCCTTTTTTACAGGCCCCACTCTTTTTGTCACCAGTTATTAAGTTGAAAATAAAAAGAAGAACATCTTGTTGAAGCATGATGTTAATTGTTTTATATTAAGAAATGTTATTCTGGATGTTACTGGAGCCACTTGTTATTAGTCTCATTAATCCTCTATGCAGTGCTTACAATACTACCCCTCAGTTCTTCCTCTAGATTTACCCACAGACCAAGAAAGAAAGAAAACAAATTACAAAAAAAATCTTGGTGGTGACTTTTCTTATGAATTCATACCTTTGTACAATACATTAATTTCTTTTAGCAGTAAAGTATTGTACTGTGTTAGCCATCAATTAATGCAGAATGTTAGGAGTTAAGAAGTATCCTTTAAGGCCCATACACAATGAGAACATGTGAGACGTACAATGAGAAAATCAGATGAAAAATACTGCTTATGGAACGATCGTCCGATAATCTGATCATTTAGTACACAGCTTTTGAGCGCCGATCACCACAGTTCATGCAACAAGATCCAAAGGGACAAACGTGAAAAATTTTCTTGTATGATACCAGAGCAAACGATTTTAATTGAATCGGTATAGCAGTTGTCCCAATAAATCAGAAAACCAAGACCACGTGTGCTCAGAAACTAAAGAATACATTACAATACAATACAATACAATACATTACATCACTTCCGAAGTTGTATTCTGTCGTATGAGAATTTTCATAACTTTAGTAATCTCTTCATTCTCGATATGAGACTAGCATCCAAAAAAATAGATTACCATATATTAGATATTCTCATTGTGTGTACGGGGCTTTACTGGCTAACTTAAGTTATTAAAAATGCATGCTAAGGATGCCTTAGATTCCTTCTATAGGCTTTATACATTCTGTAAAGCCTGAATGGAGGGCTCTTAGGCCTCTATTAAAGTATATGTAAACCCTCACTTTATAACACAGCCCATTTGGTTTGTATACATATAAAAAAAATTATACATACCAAGTGATCACATACCCTCAGTTCTCAGTTGCATAAAGAGCTGGGGAAGGGGGGGGGGCGGAGAAACAGCAGCACACTGATCTTCCCAGTGAATGACTGTTTAAGGGGAGGGGGGCATGTCAGCACAAGCCTGATCATTGGATTAGCTCCCAGCACAGCCAGAAAACTGACCCCGCTGTGCTGGCTGGATCACCAGGGATTTCACACAAAGGAAGCAATACAAAGAGAGCAGGATACTTTTTCATACATGTACAAGGTACAGCAGGCATATATCAGAAATATGAAACGTTAGGTTTACATATTTTTTATGCTTGCATCTTGAATAACTTTAGTTAGCCAAAAAAAGGTAACCTAAACTCCAAACTTTCTATATTCATTTTTCAGAAATGTTCAGCTGGGTTCTGAAAATCATATCCCACCTCCTTGTCTTACTGCCTCCGTCCTTTCATGTATTTTGTTGTGGATATGTGTAAGTGCCAGCTTATAGCAATATCTCATTTTTCCATTGTAGGTTGGAAATGACCTAATAGTTAGCTATGGGAAACACTATTACTTTTTATATTAAGTGTATTCTGGAGAACAAGGGTATATTTTATATGCAGTTTAAAGGCAACCTTCAAAAGACAGAACACGAGCAAAATACTGCTTGTTCACAAAATAACATAATAAAACAACTGAATAAATTAAAATAAATGTCATGTGAGTTATACTGACAGTGTTATAAAATGAAGTAAGATAATCCAGAAGTCACTTTTTCCTTTTACATTTGTATTTCTTTTGCCAAGTTATCCGCTTTGAGAAATCCATGGTATTGTCTGATTTATATAATTTACCAATAATATCACATAAATCTATATCACTTTTACTTTTTAAATTTATGCTAGGTTAACAGCTGTAGAAAATGGGCACTTTTGGTGTCCTTTATTTAAATCCTTGACACTTTCTCAGCCTCAGGTTGCGTAGAAGCTGTGTAGAGTCAGAGAGCTTGATACTTCTCTGTGTCTGGACAAAGGAAATGATTCCACGGGGCAGCAAGCAGAGTGAAATTATTACTACATTGTAACATTAATCTGCAAAGTGACAAGATTTAGTAGAAATTAAACTTTAATTGGTAAACCACTGCATATTCCAAGCATTATTTTACTTTGCTAATAGAGTCACTTTAGTTTAGAAAATGCAGAAATTTCAACAGAAATTACACCAGTAGTTTATATTAAGCAAAAACTTTTATATTGTACAAATTGTACAAAATAAATACAGCTAAATTTACAACACCTATGATCTTTCACAAAAAAAGTTAACATTTTAATAAATTATAATTATCCAGTTACAATTTACAAGTATTTACAGCAATAATTCTTGGAAGCATGCTGATGCCTATATAGGTAAAGGGCTTTATGAGGGAATAAACAGTCTCTATAGGTCAGCGTTGATAACCAGTTGCGTCAAATAATTATCATGATACTTTTGTGTTTTAACCCAGAATTTTTGATGTATGTATACATTGAAATCAGACACACTGATAAACATAAAACACTAGACAAGATCAGGCAACCTGGCAAATGTAGGTAAACAGGACAATGTGGTTTGTTTAGCCAAGGCATTGGCTAAACAATGGCACTAGCTAAACAACTTCATGACCTTGGGGTGTTGTAGAACTATAAATACCTGCATGTTGTGCAGGTTCCTTCACAGCTGGAAGATCATGGTTTGCCCATCACTGATAGAGGAAAAGGTTATTCTGATAATAGGGTGTCAATGCTGTATGACTGCTTGCTAACAAGACAAAGGATTCCAATACAGGACAAGGTGAGTATGCAGCAGAATAGCAGTACAGTTTGGTATCATTTAAAAGTTAGGTAAGGTTTGGTTAGTCCTAGGCAGGGGTGGACTGACAACTCATGGGGCCCCCAGGCAATAGGGGGTCAAGGGGCCCCTGTGTTCTTGCCCACACTCAAACCATACCCAAAAAAGCCTATGAAAGGTACCGGGGCATCTCATGGGGCCCCTTACTGACCCCGGGCCCTCGGACAGTGCCCGAGTTTCCGAATAGTCAGTCCGCCCCTGGTCCTAGGCTTATTTTTGGGGTTTGGTGTTAGTTCTAGGGCAAGCCTGGTTTAGGTGATATGTGTTAAGGGGTTAGGAGACTAATTGATCCCAATAGTTCTAGTGTTGAGAGATCCCTCCAAAAACTACCAGCACTCTACTGCTGGTGCTGACAAGAAATCTTTCCCTGACTTAGAGATTATATTTTGAAAGGCAAACAGATAATACCTAAGACCATGGTTTAAACCTGCACATATGACTGTGTTCAAAATAAATGCCTTGTCTATTGGAACATTGAGGTTTCATACTTCTGCCCAACCCTAGAAAACAATCAGATGGTTATAGGAACTCCCAATACTCCTGTAGATCCCCCCAGCTGACCATCTCTGGGTAAAAATTGCAGGTTTCTGTCACATTCAACTATGTGACTGAGGACCTTCTGCCATGCTATCTCACTTCTATGGATAACCTTTGTCATGCCGATTAAACAGATTCCAGCTGTCATTTGTACTTTAAGTTAAAAAATGAAAGCAAGTGTCTGAATAGTATATAGACAATGCAGACATACAGTATTTTTCTTTCCACTGTATTTTATAGGTATGCCCCAAGAAATGTGGCCTGTGATATCCTGATGCTAAGTGCTGACATCAGTGTCACAGAACAACAGGATGCTGTGAGCTGTGCATACTGAAACTATTAGTATGGGAATGTCCAAGGAGACTGAGGTAATGTCTGTCTAGAGTCTGCATGGGAGACAAGAAGCTGCTATGTGGGGACTGCTGTGGGGGTGTGCATGGCAGAGGCATAGTGGCCGGGCCTGTGAGGTAGTTCAGTGTGGGGCTTCTAGTAGTGCTGTGCCATGAGAATGAACCTCCTGAGCTCTGTGTGAAAGAAGAGTCACCACTGCTTGGGTAATCAGGTGGAGAGGGAGGCAGCTGGCAAGACATGTCTACCTCCTGAAGGGAACTAAATAGTGGCTCCGTGGACAGGTGTGCTTTAGACTGCAGGAAGGCAACAATGCGAGCATATTTGGTGTCCTTGGTCTCCATCCTTTCCACTGTGGTCAAGTAATGAACCAGATTCTTCATGCACTCGTGGTAACCATAGTGAAAGTAATTGGCAAACTCTGACAGGAGGTCTGTTGGAAGACAATAAGCTAGGTTAGTGCTTTGTGGAAGTTATTAGCTTGCAGCCCCCTACTCCCCATTGGTTTTTTTGCATATACGTTTGAGGGTGCATTGCTTTATTTTTATTGCTCTTTTCTGTTTCTGGTAATAGACAAATATGATTGCAGCTGGACTAAGCAAAACATTGGCTGGATAATATATGTAGCAGTAGGATCAGGCAAATAATTGTGAATAAAACACATGCATGTACAGTAAAGAATTCATGTCAGATTCTTGGATCAGCTTGTTAGTTCCATCATTAGTTATCGTTTAGAATAAGACAAGTGCCAGTAAATTAATTATGGAGGTTAAAGACCCTATAATGATTCTACTATGGAATCCTACTAATAATGTCCCTAGAATTCATCTTACCCAAAAATTAAAGGTTGAGGGATAAATACTCTATAATGATTTTGCTATGGTACTTCATCAGTAATGGCCCTAGTACTCATCCTACCCAAATATTAAAGGTTGGAGGAGAAGACACTCTAACAGGTTTGCTATCGTACTTTGACAATAATGCCCTAGTGTGAATCTTCCCAAATATTAAAGATTAGAGGATAAACATGCTCTAATAGGTTTGCTATGGTGCTTTGACAATAATGCCCCACTATTCATCCTACCTACATATTAAAGGATGGATTGTAAAGATGATGTAAGAAGTTTGCACTGGTACTTTGACAAGGTCAGAGGATAAAGATCCTATAATGATTCAACTATGGTAGTTTGTCAGTAATGCTCTTGTATTCATATTGCTCAAAATATTACACATATTTTAATGAACTTTATTAAACAAACCACATTGAATTATTGTATGCTGCTGAGTTATAAAAAGAAGATTTATTACAACATATATTCTTTCTACAACAAAATGTTACAAGTCTACAATAAACAGAGTACTATGGTGTTTGTACTCTTGACACTAATATATAGAGTACAATTATGATTTTACCTTTGTCCCGACCTCTAGGAAAGTCAGCAGCATGCAAAGCTCTCAAATATTGAACGGTCATTTCCAAAATCTCAGCTTTCTCCAGTTTACCAGAGTTCTGAAAATGAACAATTTAGTTAGTATATCCAGAATTATGTGTCTTGTCTTGACATAGCTAAGAGCACATAAATAAACAGCATTCAGTATAACAAGTGAAATGAAATTACATATATCACAGACTGACAGAATTTATAGCCAACAGAGCAAAAAGCATTTATGATATCGTTGACTATTAGGGTGATGACAAACCATTACAAAAATAATTTTTAAATTACTAATATGTGCTGCTGTACTTGGAACGGCATGATGAACAGTTTCTCTCATTTAATAACCACTGATATGTGTAAACGGAATTACTAGTTAAACTTTGTTTTATAGATGTAGAATTTCAGAATATCTGAAGTATCATCTCTGCTTGTTTAACATTACAAAAACATTATAATTTACAGTAATAACCAATTATTTCAATAAAAAGCCTGGTAAAAATTGTAATATTTCTCCATGACTGTATACAGGGTAAATAACATTGCTTTAAATTTGAATGACAAACTATTGTATATAGTGTGACCTGAAATGGAAACATTTTCTGAAAATGGTTGGACTCATATCAAAGACAAGTAAATAGTTCAGGTAAGGCTGTGGATATGGGATTTTATAGGAGGCAAACGCTGGTCATAAAAACAGCAAGTTTCTTGCAATTTCAAACATCAGCTTTTAATGTCAAAGGTCAAGGCTACCTTCCACCAACAACCATGGCTAGTTAAATTTGGCTGCAATTGCTAGAACTTTACTGTGTGTATGGACAGTGAATGTGAATAGGTGAAATGTGTATTACTTAAGTGAGAAAAAGAGCATGATAAAGACTATATGGGCATGTTGTACTAAGGGGTACATCACCACTCACTTCAAAAACAAAGGGAAATTATTTTAAATGACTTTTAATTTTTTGACACAGTGTGATATAATTTCTGTAACTACAATTAATGCCAGCTCTGGTTAAAATGAGATTTAGTTGAAAAAAGGGGAAACGTTTAAAAAGACAATAAGAATAAGATAATTTGCAGATAAATTAATAACACAAACTACTTTTTATGGATAGAATCAGACTCTGTGATGGTGTAAAAGTAAAGTACAGATAAAATATTATAGCACATGAGTTCAGCTGGACATTTAAACTCTGTGTGATGGAATAATTTAGTGTAGGTGACATAATGCCGTAGGGTGGAAATGGGACAGTTTTGGTGGACGTGCATGCACAATTGTTGAATCATTATAGATGAACATAACACTGCATGGATGATAACATGATATTGTATGGTCTAGGCCACTGTTGATGTACCATACTAGGAAAGTGCCACTGACCTGCTTGGCAAGAGCCATGGGCACTGTCTTCCCAAGCTCACTGAGGCAGCGATTTATCCTGTCTCTTCTTCTCTTTTCTATCACCTTGTGGGAGACTGGGGTTCTCTGGAAATAAACACATGACACATGAATAGACACTAGCGAGGCAGCATGATTAACAGGGGGACAGAGCTGTCAGTCCCAACCATCAGTGTGTCTGGTACTGAGCAAGAGAGGACTTCCAGTGTTCTCCAAAACAACACTCACTTTTCTTTCCTTGATTTTGGCTGAGTCTCTGAGTGAGATCATGCAGGCTGGTCCCATCACACCGATGTCCATAGTCCTACTGTGCGAGCTGCTCTTGGTGCAATCAGGTAGACTGCAGTGCAGCTCTTCTCCCACCCGGGCTGGGCTTATAAAGCGATCACTTATCAGCACTGTGCATTCAGGGCCTGTGTGGGGATTAAGAGCCGAGAGAATAGGAAGGGAGGGGTGGTCATCCAGGCGAGACAGCCCTAAAACAACACAAATCCCTATGTGTGACTGGGGGCTAGCAGGGGGCACATCAAATTTGTTAATCCACGTGGCCCTTGAGGGACACGTGATTGTGAGCCCAGTAATCAGGGGTGGAAGGAGAGGAGATCTGATGTATGAATGGGCACCTTGCACTAAGTTCTCTGCTGAGAAATCATCTTGCATGAAGTCCCACATCTAATGCAAGGTCACTTCTACCAATGTCAAGTACTAGCAATGACAAAACTCATGTAAGGTACACTGGGGGCTATTTAGCGAAATGTACCTGCATTAGTTACAAGCATAAAGCCACATGGAAAGCATAAGTTTTCATTTTTAAATAGCCCATTATGGCGCTGAACTGGAACTTTTATGAGTACCTAATTTTTCTCATGGACTACCTACATTTGTGCATTTCTGTAATCTGTAATCTCAAAATATTTTATTTGGAACAGAAGACACAAGCTTTTCTTTCCAGAAATCAGGTGATCCATACAATAAACAAAATGTATGTGACTGTATTAATCAAGTAGTGTAACAATAAAGGTGTCTTATGAAAACAATGGGAAATGAGAAATCAGCTAGTTATGAATGGACATTTAGGAGTCTGTAAACACCATCTGAGTGATGTTACATCAATAGGGTTAATTTACTATTGGGTACAGTGTGTTAATGTAGCAAAACTGAATGTCCTCTGAGACTAGCAAAGAAAGATTTAATCAACCAATCATGTGCAAGAAAAGGTCCTATAATGCTTTTTTTTATTTCCCTTACATATGATTGGGTGTTTAAAGCTTTACCTTATTACCTAAGTTCAATGAACATCCCCTACGTCTCTACTTTTTAAGTAGATTAATGCCATTGTATACACTGCCAGGTTGTAGCAAGAAATACAGTAGTTGAACTGGTTGCCTCATTTGCATGGGCACTTGAAGAAATTACCAATATAGTATATGCCATCGAGGAGACAAGTTAGGGATGTGAATAGAAATTTGTCAGCTTTTTGGAAATGCAGTCAATTAATGTACTTTCATTATATTCGATGATCATTTGCTTTAAAACATTTACTAGAGGTAAAAGCTGCACATATAGGAGGTTATTTACTAAAACTAGAGACTGCAAAAACTGGTGCAAGTCTGCATAGAAACCAATCAGCGTTCAGGTTTTATTTTCAAAGCCTAATTGAACAAGCTGAAGTTAGAAGCTGATTGGCTACTATGCACAGCTGCACCAGATTCTGAGTGCACCAGTTTTAGTAAATCCACCTCACAGTCCTCTATCCAGGTTGGGTTTTTAATAGCAAAGTTGGCAATAGGCAGATGTATGATTCAGAACTGGTGGAAATACATCTGCCCTAAAGCATACAGCTTGGCTGATAAGTAGAAATGGAACACACAAAGTTCAACACTTTATTACCTTTTCTCACTGAAAACCTAGGAACTAGACCACTGTATACAGAATTTCCAGAAATTTCCAGAAATAAAAAAATGTCACTGTGTGATATGTGCTTTCAACATTCCTTACTAGTTTAGGGAAGACTCACACTTATCTGATCATGCTTTTGACCCACCAGCTCAACATTGAAATTGAGCTGCTTATTATCGCCAGTTTACCTTTAAATTCTGCGGCCTTCATTTTAAAAATAATTTTCTGGTTTAGACATGGTCACTTTTGACTTGTAAAATTATGTTTTTCAGCATACAACGCATACAAAAGCATACCAAATGCAATTAAGTATAAATGGATATACTGATACTGCTGAAGTTTTTGAATGCAAAATGTTAGTCCCATGTGTCTGCCCTTAATATATAATATATATACATATATATATATGTTGAAACATTGTAGGATGGAAATGTACCTCCGTACTACACAGAGGTTCTGTTGGAAAGGAATAAGTTGTCTGTGCTGAAAATGATTCAAAATAAAGTATTCTTAATTTTGGTTTAATGTGCATGAAGTCCCACATCTAATGCATGGTCAGTTCTACCAATGTCAAGTACTAGCGATGACAGAACTCATGTAAGGTACACTGGAGGCTATTTATTGAAGTGTACCTGCATTAGTTACTAACATATAGCCATAGAAAGGATATGTTTTTATTTTTTAAACAGTCCATTTTTAATTTTGGTTTAACATATTTGTTAATAAAGTACCCCTTATATTCACATCATATAAACATCAGAATATGTTGAGATTTAGACATGCACAGCCATGTTTACTCTTGTGAATAATAATAAAGACATAATTTAGCCAGAGAGGGGGATTGAACATGGTTTTCCCACGTTGTCGATGTGGGAACATCAGTAGTATACCAGTTCCACTGTAATAGGGGCCACCCTTAAGGTGTCCATACTCACAGCACCCACTGAAACTGACAACCCAGACTTGCTGGGGTTGATTTACTAAAGGAGCAAAGCCTGTTCACTTTGCAAAGTGAATTTTTCACTTAGCTTCGCCTCATTCACCAAGCTAAGTGAAATTCACCTTACAAAGTGAACACACTCTGGTCCTATAGTATAGTCAACCGCAATTAGAATGGTGACCTGGCAGGTTAGAAAACTTTGATTGCCGTTGTTTCCTTCCGATAAGCCAGTACTGGTGGCATCTATGGAGCCCTGTCCTGCTCCAGAGGTCTAAACACAGATGGTGACAAGGCAACTATTCATGTTGGATACACTGGCCAACCAAGATGACTGACGATTGTGCCTGTACACCCAGCTGCCCTCTAGCGTCTGTAACCAGCTTTTCTCCATTTACACAAATTAGGTTAACCCTATCATGACCAGAGCTTCTAAAGTTTAGACACACAGACCAAGTTTAGCAGCACTGGTATATGTTTGTTGATTTAACAGTGACTCTCATTTTTGTCATTAATAGAGGGACTGAGAACTGGTAACACACAGTTGCACATTCCTAGTTCTCTGCTGCAAAATGAATTAAAAGGGGCACATTTGGACTTATAATTTGGTATTGCTGTCACAAAACAGTTTAGGGCAAAGAAAGGAACATTATTTTATTTAACAGTAAGTTGGTATAGTAAATTACCTCCTGATTTGTAGATATAAAATTTGTATATGAACCAGCTGCAATTAGTTTGTGGTTTATGGTCAGTTGACCAGATCTGATTTTCTGACTGAGCTGAGGTGTGGTTTATGTCCACTTCACATCTCAGTCACTGGTTAAGGCTCCATTCACACTTGTACAACTCCAAAGTCCCATGGCTTTGGAGTGCAACTTTGATGCAACTTTGTATGGGTGCAACTTGGGTATAACTTGTCCTTTTGCAATGTCGGACCAAAGTAGTGCATGAACTACTCTGAAGTCGTTGCAACTTTAAGTTGCACATGTGAATGGTTATCATTGGAAAACATGGGGTATGACTTGTCATGCGACGTTGATGTCCAAAGTCTCATGACAAGTCGGACAAGTGTGAATGGGGTCTAAATATAACTTCTCTAACTCAGCCAGACCAGACACAAGGGGTCACTGACTTCATTCACACAGACAAGCTGGTCAGTACAGGGTAAAGATGGACAGTGAATAGATACAGCTTGCACAATGTTTGTAAATGCTCTATTCAGCCTTTATCCTACAATGACCCAAAGGGTCATAGTGTCATTGTAGGGGGTCACTGACTTCTTTCAATCATCCTTTTTTCCAAATAAACATATTACTGAATCTCTACCTGCAGAGTTACTGTTTTGCTAAAGGAACAAAAATAACAACTTAAAGCAATAGCAAAGAACCGTGGCCTCAGATCTACCCCCAAAGAAGTTGGACAATAAAGTTGTATGCATTTTTTATTCTTTATTTTTTTGTAGTGTGTTGGTCTGCAAATAGTTCTTTTATACTTAAGTTCACAGTATCTGTACCTACGGCTTTGCTACAGCTGTTATTTCATAGCTGACCTCCAGCACCGCTACGAACAGAGACTTCCATCTACATGTAGTGGAGGCTTTACAATAAAGCCAAACGGTAGCCTTGGAGCCATACAGCAGCGCTGTTTAGGTGCTGATTGGCACCATTATGTGCATATTAGGTTTTTTTTCTTGTCTTCAGGCATTAGCATTAGTATCGTAAACAGATTTTTTGGCATTTTGAAATATTCCTGCAGGGGGGGATGTCTGTTATTCTATGAATTGCATGTGCACTGCATCTGTTATAACCAATATGTTCTTGTCTGATGTTGGGAAAATACAGGGTCACTTTAAGTCAGAGCATTCCAAAACACAAAGGAAACTAGTTGCATTTTAGGGATTGGTTTACCAGTGTTCACCATCTTATCCACTAATGCTATTGTCTTCTCTCCATTGTTGCATCTTTTCTGCATAAAGTGAATCTGTGCTTTATCCATGCAGCGCAAAGCAACAGGTATACTTATACGAATGTTTCTTTACCTTCATTCAGTTGCTGAATTTAACCACCAGGGTGAAAGCAAAGCCCTGTATAGGCTACAAGTCACTGGAGTGGAATCTTCCGTAGGTTCATAAACCCCCCTATGAGAGTGCTGGTCATGTCCTTCT